AAATTAAAACATTAGGTAAATCATAAAATTCATAGAATTTAAGAAGAGATATAACATAGAAACTAAAAAGAATTTATCAAAACATGAGCCTATTTAGACATTTAAGATAGAGAAAATTATTATAAAAATGATGATATAAAAATTTTATATTTCAAATTTCAATATGGAATATAAGTGTACATAAGATCAATTTGAATTAAGAGATTAAAAGAGTTTGGAAAGAAATAACTACCACATGTGGCGCTTTGCGCATCTTTTTTAAATTTATGACACATTTTTATGCATCTTTTCATTTGGGCTTATTTTGTGCCTCTTTTTCACATTGCGAATTTTTGGGCATTTTTTTTAATTTTTATACACTTGTACATTTTTCAAGAGTAATCGAATTCTTTCAAAAATCAATAATTTGAAATTTCAAATTTTCTAAGTACATAAATATTATTTGATAAGTGAAATACAAAATAAGAAAAATATCATAATTGTAATAATAATATAAAAAATTAATGTAGTCTGATTAATAGACATGAAATTGACAATCTTAATAATATCAAGTTATAACACAACTTAAATTTAGAAAATTTAGATTTTCAAATGAATTAAATTTTATGTTGCAGTTCAAAGTATATCACTTGTAAGATCAAAAATTTTAGAAATTTTCATATAGGCTAACGAACATTTCAAACACAGAATAAAATCACTTAATTATTCAAAAAATTTAAAGCAATACAAGTACAAAATACAAGTACATAAACTATAAAAATCTTCATATCACATTTCAAATGTCTCACAAAAAGATTCATTTTCAACATTTTACCCGTATAGCCATTTATATGCGTACATAAGAAGTAATACAAATCGTCTAGGAAGATCAGGAGATCGTACAATACGATATGTCTTAGAAAAATTAAACAATACACAATCAGTCAAAACCAACTATCAATTTGCTACATAATTCGTACAGTACAAAAATATTTTCGTCCAGTACGAATATAATACTTAGAAAAATATGTACGATCGATCTAAAATATTGAATCAGATGTGAAAACATTTCAAAATCATACAAAAACACAAAAAAATAAAAATAGAAAAACACATAAAACAAACAAAAATAAAAATACAACAAATAAAAAACATGCACACAAAAACACATAAATAAAGAGTTTAAACATCATTTTGTGCCTGGTCTGATGATTCAGAAGCTAGATCAGCCCAGGAGATTTTTTGCTTTTCATTATTATCTCTTTTTATAATTTGCTTAGGTTTACATTTTTTTTGCAGGAAGAGTTCTCAAATTAGGGCACTGACTTTTCAGATGTCCAGATTTCCTACATCCAAAGCAAGTAATATTTGAAGAAATCTGAACATTCTTACCATTTTTACCTTTATTCCACTTTTGTTGATGCTTATGCTTGTGCTTCAGTGGACTTTTTAATTTGCTTGTTAAGTCATCATTTTTCTCACCAACTAAGCCACTTTTCTCCATGTCTTCCGCTTTTAGCATTATTGTTTCACCTGCATCTAAAAGTCTTTGACCCAAACATTACTCGTAGGCAATGAGTGAGCCAATCAAATTATCAATAGAATATTCATTCAAATTTTTTTGATTCGCAAATAGCAACAACTTTGGCATCAAACTTGTCAAGTAAACAACGTAGAATTTTATTGACTATTTCAAAGTTTGAAAATTCTTTACCTAAAGCATGCAATGATGTTACAATTTGAATAAACCTAATATACATGTCTAAGATTGTCTCATAAGGTTTCATGCTAAAGAGTTCATAGTCATGTATAAAAAAATTCAACTTAGATTGCTTGACTTCACTAGTACCTTCATATGTAATGCATAAACTGTATTGTAAACAACTTGCAATGAAATTAAATGCGGAAGAAAAATAAGAAAGAACACACCAGATTTATAGTGGTTCGGTCAAACCTTGACCTACGTCCACTCCCCGGAGGCACCCTTCGAGTATTGCACTAATACCACAAAGTGACTCTCCTTTTTCCCCCACAGCAAGGCGGAGAAGCCTGTACAAAATCACTTTCACCTTCCCCGGTGCGGCGGAGTAGCCGGGTTCTTTGACACCAAAGAGATCTTCTTCTCGCCAAAACTTCCCTCAAGACGACCCTTGAATCCGATGGTACTGAGGTGCAAGTTCTCTAGAGCAACCGTATGAATATCCCCTCCACACTCCCTTGAAATCCACTTCAAGGATCTTCTCCCTCTCAAACTCCACCCTTTCCTCTCTCCCTTTCAAGTTCTCTCTTCTAGTTTTCTCCAAAAGAATGAAGACACAATGACTGTCAAAGATACACTTTGTCATCCTTTTACACTCTCCAAGTGTTGGCAGAGAACCGGACCGATGTTGTTGAACTTCACTTGAGAACCTTTAAAGGAGATGGGCAGAAACAAAGAGATCTTCTTCTTCAAGTAACCTTGTGAATCCCTCACAAACCCATCACTTGATCTCTCACTCTTCACTCTTATAATATCTCCCAAACACTCACACTTAATGATCCCTCTCAAGAGAAAATAACTCCAAAGGTGTTTGTAATAGTTTCTAGGACTCTTTATATAGAAAGGACATGAAAAACCATCCAAAAAACTGCTAATTTCAAAATTTTCTGTGCAGTGGATCGTCCCGTACGAACCTGAGTTAGTCCCGTACGAAATGTGTAAAAAGTGTCCCGTACGAACCATTTGTGTATCAGTACGAACTAATTTTGTCCTGGGATGAAATAGGTTTGTCCTGGGACGAAAAATTTCGTCAGGTACGAACAGTTATATCAAAGGTCGGTTCTGAAAACTGCAGAACGTTGCCAGAAACTGCCATAGTCGGTTCGCTTCGTCCTAGGACGAATTCAGTTCGTCCTGGACGAAATTATACATAGAGTTTCGTCTAGAGACGAAGGTTAATTTCATCCTGTATGATTTTTTATAGAGAATTTCGTTCTGGAACGAAGGTTCATTTCGTTTGGACGAACAGAGCAAGCTTCAATACAGAGACGTTCGTCCTGGGACGGACCTTATTTTTTGTCTGGACGAACAGAGCACGGTGAGAATACAGAGACGTTCGTCCTGGGACAAACCCCGAATTTCGTCCTGACGAACAGTGGAAAGTGAGAATCCTGAGACGTTCGTCCCGGGACGAATGTTAAAATCGTCCTAGACGATTAGGACTTAGAAAAATTTTCTCCCTGCCTGTTCGATCCATTGCTCTTACGAGGGCTTAATTGACATGATCGTCCCGTACGAACAATATTCGTCCCATACGATCAGCACAAAACTTTTTCAAGATCTCCTTTAATGTGTGTGAATTTAGTCACTCAATTACAATCACTCTCTCTCAAATTTAATTCAAATAAAAATTACAAGTTTCAAATTTACAAAGTATTTCATGCTGAATTTGATTTGAAGTCTTTGCAGTCTGGAGTTCGATTTTCTTGAAATATTAGTACACACAAGAGGAAAAACAAATCTTCCAAAAATGTTAGGAGATAACAACACATAAAACAATAATATTTGGAATCATCAAAACTATACAAGTTGCAAGAATGTAACATATGCAAATAGCAACTTTCCTAACAGTTACTTGACATAAATATATTTGGCATAAGAACAATGCCCTGCGTTATTCGGTTTATGCCTGGATGGCGTTTCATGGGGGTTTAAAAACAGCGGATGTCCTTGCTGTTCGTGGTATTTTGGTTCCCAACACCTGTTGTTTCTTTCACAATGATTTGGAAACTATCACTCACCTTTACTTTGAATGCAGCTACATTTTTGATATTGCTAAAGCTTTATTCCCTTGGCTGCACAATCTTTTTATGAAGCCAAATATTCACCAACTTTATGATAGCATATGTGAGCAAGGTTTTATTGCTAAAACTAGGAATCACTATCTTCTTATTGCCTCTACCACGATTTACTTTGTTTGGAGAGCAAGAAATGACAGATTATTTGGTGGCATCATTGACAGTAAAGCCACAATTATTTCTAAAATCAAGAAAGCTGTTCTGTTAAAATATCTGAGATGGAAAAAGTGAGGAATTCTGTATTCTGGTAGTGGAAAAAATCTGCTACTCCCGACTTGTGCTTGCTGATTACTATCCTGAAGCTTGTGCTCTGGCATTTTAATGGAAATCTGGACGTCCAGACGCCTATTTTGGATGCTGAGGAAATCATTTTTGGAAGGACGATGATGAACGCTGAACACGTTCAGCTGCCCCTTGGACGGTCTTCTAGGCAACCAGGGGCTATGCTCAATTTGTCCCAAACGTGTTTTTGACCATTTCGAGTATTTGAGCATTTTTCTGAGTCCTTGGCTTTTAGCCAATTTGTTTTTTGCTTCATTAATTTCCGAATTGTATTTTCCTTTTCTTTAGAATCCATAATCTCTTTTTGTTGTTTGAGATTGTTGGATTATAGTTTTGTTTACTTTCTTACTTGTAATCTTTTTTAGCAATGAGATGAGTTTTTAGCCCCAAAATTTTTCAAAAAAAGTTCAACTAACGTAATTATGACGGGATATTCGTGTCCGTACATGTAGTTGGCCATCAATTTTTTATTTTTTTGGAAGACATTTAGGCCAATCAATGCAGTTGGCCATCAGTTGTTCCATTCAACAACAAAGCCCTACATGGGGTCCTGGTTGGGTACCCATTGGGTACCCACGCTCTGCGCTAGCGGGCTTTGCTCACCCACACCCATCTATGGTGACTTTTGGTATGTTATACCCACCCACACCCACCCACTTTCCATGCTTCTTGAATAAAATCTTTCGCGGATTAATGGCATTGAGGTTTGTTGCCCTTTTCTTTGACTACAAACTTTTAAGTTACATATCAAAATTTATCGTAGTCGCAGCACGGTTCAGTGTTGCGTACTACGTAGTAAGGATTACTGTAATATAATGCATGCATATAATGAGTAGTAATGTAAATCAATTTGTCCCCTGATGTTGAGTACCCACCCATACCCACCCACAAGGCCATGTACATACCCATACCCACCCATGCCCATTGGGTATGAGTGGGTACGTGGGTGGGTGTGGGTATGGGCACCCAATCCAGAGCTCTGTTCAACAACCATGCAGATTCTGGTTGAGCAGCGTACTAGAAAAAACAGGATGGACGGTCATGATGGTTGCTTGTCGCCATTCTCATGGTTTATCATATGCCTGCGCGCCCGTGATCTAGGGTTAAGGTCCCCTTCGTTGTTCAGAGCAATGGGGAGCGGGGTTCCGGAGGGGGAGGTACCAGTCACAGGGCTTCTCATAATGGCAGCGTCGATGATGCCGGCGTATGTCTATGTTGTGGTGGTTCTCCTCCTCCTTGTTGTGATCCTTTACGGTTTTCTCGAGTTCCATTTCATTGGAGATTTATTTCGTGGATTCCGGGGAGATCGTGTGAATCTTACGTTCGATCCCAGGTCCATGATCTACGAGAATGTCGTCTCCAAGTGTCGGGTTCTCCAGGGGAGGTCAATGTTCATTTTGTTTTGAATATCAAGTTCGCTGGCCCTGAAGGCATTTGTGATTGAATGTTGATTTCTGTAATCTGCTTGATGTGCATGATTGCAGGTACTTGGCAACGCTGTGGCTTTCCAGTCCCCATTTACAGATCGCCTTTCTGACTTTATACGGGAGGCCTCCTGTCTTTACTTACAGAAGGTTAAATTTTGTTGGTATTATTTATCGGTCTCTTTTTTGGGATTGGTTGTTGCTATTTTTTATTTGTTTTGAATTGGAAAGTCTATTTTGATTGAAGCTGAAACTCTCAAAATTATGATGTTTGTTGCTTTTTATTGTTTTTCTTCCGTAAGAAACTATTAAGAAAATCTTGGGTAAACTTTGCGTTCACAATTTTAGGTTCTATCACAAAGAAAAACACAAGTGCCAGGTCAAAAGATGTAAAATGGTGGTTCGAGTGATGCGTAGACTATTCAGTTCTTTCTACAAGTTGCTTAACAAATAAGTTACTAGGTTGTTCTTTCATGTCCATGATTTGAGAGATGTTGTTTATAACATGAGACACTTTCTGTAATACGAAACATGCATTGCAATCGAGAAGTTTTTTTTTATGTCGTATTGAGCACTCCAATTCATCCTTTGCTACAATACCAGCATCCTCATACTCTTCCTAACCAACTAGCTCATGCATAAGTGCTTGATTAAAATCCACTACTGCCAATACATTTTATGTAGGATTCTCCTTTCTTCCAAAAAAAATCAACAACTTTATAGGATATTACACAGAGGCTTTGATGTGTGATCCATCCCATGGGTTGAAAAAAAGCCTCCCAGAATTCACAACACTATAAGCCTAACTGTTTTATGTTATTTAGGATGTGATGTGTTAATGTGTTGCTTTGAACCATGGCATAAACCTAGAGTTACTTGCAATTTTCCAATGTATCACCAATTTTGGCAGGGTAATAAGTTCATTATTTTTTTGAAAGATCCAAGAACTATTAATATTCTTTTGAAGCAACGAATAAAAGTTTTGCATGGACTCTTAAACCAACCAGTTGATATGGTGCATGTTCTCTATTCTAGCATATAAAGAAACATTATCACCATTCCTCCATAGGCGCATGTAAGGTATTTTTTTTAATAAACCCTTTCACTTCAGAATACCACAAAACTTGAAAAATGGGGAGTTTTGTGCACAAACTATAATGATGGCTGCTTTATTGTTGCCCCTATAAAGATCTCACATATATTTTCCATGATTAAAATCCCTCTCAACAAAATCATAACACTAATTTTAGTTTGTTGTACAACCTCATCATCACATTATTGACAACTTTAAGAATAGATAATACAATTGCACAAACTTTGAAAGTAGCTATTGCCTCACTTCAGTAGCTGGAGTCTTTTTTTGACTATTGAATTTTGCTTAAATTTCTTGTTGTGTTGATTACAAAGTGACTATTACAACCTTCATATTCTACTCTAATCATTTTGCACTACAGGCAACTTTTCTCTGTATCTGATGGTGGAACTATTGCTTTGGATTGGCTGCTTGCTTCTGATGGTAAACCCTAAGTTGGAAACTGCATACTATAATGCTATGTTCTGTCAGTGGTTGTGGCATTGGCCTGGTCGGCATCAATTGACCAATATATTGGTTCACGTTGTTTTTTTTGAAATTTTATAGACAAAAAGGGCATTCTTTTTATCTCAATGTATACTATATTTCTATTTGCATTTGAGGTTCATTAGTTGTCATCAACTTGTGAAAACATAAAACTCACCTTATTTGTTCTGATAATTTTAGAGCTTATTTGGGTCTTCTAATTCATCTAGCTGGTGATAATGTATTAGATTCTTGATCAGGGTATGCAGCAAAATTGTGTAAAATATTAGGAAATAGGAAGGCAACACAAGAAAAAAAAATCAACTTACAAAACCTCATGCCATTGTTGCTGAATCCTCAGGGCAGCAGGTTATTGAATATTCTTCAAGGAAAGAAGCTTTTAAGCCAAAACCTTCAAGAAGTCTTCATTGAACCCAAATCGCTAAACATACATAAGGCTCTATATATTAAAATTCCTAAATTATTCTTTTTCTTATTACATAAAATCGCAGCGGTGTTTATCCCACTCAACCTTAGGATGGGGAAATAGTACATTCATTTTTCTTGACTCTACTTGTTAAGATCCTGGAGTTCTCAAAGCTTTTCTAGCAAGTTGGAGAGATTTGACCTTGAAGGACTTGAGCCTGAACATTGAGGTACATGTACATGGCGATCTCTTAGTTATATTTTTTTATAAAAATAAACATCATTTCGTGAAGACCATCTCCGCTTAAAAAAAGTTGGATTGTGTACGAATTAGAGTAGATTTGTGTCTATTTGATTCGGAAATCTCAGCTTGATGGTTTGATCTTGTCGTCTTAGTCCATAGAATGCAACTCAAGGAATGGATTTTTTTGATTTTGGGCATATCTACTCTAATTCCTGCATGGTCCAACATCTACAAGCCTTAAAAGATGTAGCTACTCTAAGGGGTTGTTTGGTTGACAAAAAAAAAGAATGCAGTGTTGATGCAAGCACATTAGTTAGAAAAGCCAAACAAGGAGAACAATGGGCAAAACTATAACTAGACTTGATTCAAATAGTAACAATCATCTATTAGCACAAAAACCGATGGATAAAAACTAGAAGAAAGATCAAAAGAAAAAAAAAAGGAAATAATTAAAGTCGCTATCCTCAGAACAACCGACAAAACGGTTTCCTCACATGCATCGAAATGTAGGTTAAGTAAAGATTGTGCTTAGAGCTAGCAAACCGATGGTCCACCACAGCAAGAAGGAACAAACGTCCAACCAAACTCCTCCAGCAAATGTTTCCAAATCAGCCAACAAGCACCTCCAAAGCTCAAGAAGAAGGATACAAATGGAGTGGAGCTTGCATAGAGAAGAGAGAGGTAAGAAGCCCAGACGAAATAGAGGAGAAGAAGAAGTGGACAAAGCTCTCAAGCTTTTCCAAGAAGAAGAAAACCCTCAGGTTTTTAAAGAGACAATGCTCAATAATTTTCAACAACCTTTCCCCTCAAAAATCATCTTCTATATATATAGGCAAGAGTGGGGAACCAAACAGCCATAAACCTCCAAATAAGCCAATTAGATTTTAGGAAATGAAAGGCCAACAGCCACAACAACAAATCCCAAACGGCATAGCAGAACAAAGAAGGGGTTTCACGGAACCAAGCAGAAAATCGTAGAACCGAGCAGCCATCCGCAAGAACCAAAGGGGCAAAGGCACGAAAAAACCACCCAGCACAGGAAACCAATAGCCAGCCATGGAAACCCAAGGGACAAAGCACGAGAATTCACCCAGCTCAGGGAAGTGAGAAGAAAAAGGGAAGGAGAAGAGACAAGTCCACTCCAAATTAATCCAAAATTTAAGAGCATACCTTTTTAGATTAATGAGCTAGGTAGTTCAATAAATCCCTCAATATATGAGTTGAACTTTAGCTCAACATTAATGAGCTAGTAACTTAGAAAAATAAAGTTCAACTCCAATAAACCACCACCTCTTATCATCATTTTTAGCTCAAACCGAGAACCATAAGCCAACCCGAGAACCAGCAGTAGCCCAAAGGACCCATCAAGCTAGCAAACCAAAGGTCTACCAAAGCCCAAGCACAACCTACCATGATCATTGGATGCTTTCCCATCATTTGATTGCTAAAAAAAATATAAAACTAAATTAAAAACTAATGTTCAATATTCAATAATGAAAATACATAAATTATGATTGCATCAATTTCCCCTGGTGGGAAATTCTCATCTCCAGATGAGAAATCTCCAGATGAGAAAGCTTCAGTAACTTTCTGAAAAAGATCATGATGACGTCGCTTTAACACATGAGCATCCGTCCAAGTGCAAACGGTCAGAGGATGATTCTTCCATTTGGCCAAGAATCTCTTATGCTCGCCATGTCTAGTTTTAGAAATCCTGACATCAATAATGTCTTCAATCTGTTATTCAGATTTTTCCAAAGAAGTGGAGAGTGGCAAAATTTCAATTTCTATAAAATCGTCAGAATTTCCTTCATATAAAAAAATGTCAGAAATATTAAATACAGGAGAAATGCCAACAGAAATAGGTAGATCCAACAGATAGGCATTAGTGCATAATTTTCGAAGCACACGACAAGGTTCAAATTTCTTTCTGCTTAACTTTCTAAAAGTACCAACAGGAAATCGTTGGCGACGAAAGTAAGCCATAACCAACTCACCCTCGTTGAAAATAAATTCTTTTCGATGTTTATCAGCAGTAGATTTGTACTTAGCATTAGCTTTTTGGAGTTTTTCAAGGGCTTGTTGTTGGACAATCTTTATGTGGTCAAAAGTCTCAAAAGCTTCAGCACTAGTTTTGTTAGGTAAAGGCAAGCAGTTTCTATCTAAAATGTGAGTAATAGGTTGTCCATAAATAATTTCAAAAGGAGTTTTACCAGTGGAACGATTAACAGAATTATTGTAAGCAAACTCAGGTTGAGGCAAGACTAAATCCCATTGAGTTGGTTTTTCCCCAACAAGACATCTCAATAAATTTCCTAAGCTTCGATTGATAACTTCAGTTTGCCCATTAGTTTGAGGATGATATGCACTACTAAATTGAAGAGTAGTCTCAAGTTTTGCCCAAAGAGTTCTCCAAAAATGACTCAAAAATCTAGTGTCTCGATCAGAAGTAAAAGTACGAGGAATACCGTGAAGACGAATAATTTCTTTAAAAAAAAGATCAGCAATGTAAGAAGCATCATAAGTTTTATTGCAAGGAATAAAATGTGCCATTTTGCTAAAACCCTCCTTAGTTTTAAAAACAATTTTCCATTCATCACCAGGTCTTATTCTTATTTGATGATACTCACTTCTCAAATCAATTTTAGAAAAGATTTTGGCACCACTTAGCATATCAAGCTTGTCATCCAGTCTAGGAATTGGAAATCGATATTTAATGGTGATTTTGTTTATTGCCCTACTATCCACACACATTCTCCATGTTCCATCTTTTTTTGGTGTTAATAAAGTAGGCACAGCACGGGACTTTAAACTTTTTTTAATCAAACCCTTTTTTAATAAATCAGTCACTTGCTTAAAAAGTTCAGCATGTTTAGAAGGACTCATTCTGTATGAGGAAGGTTAGGCAAAGTGGCTCCAAGAATTATATCAATATGATGTTCAATATTTCGCATAGGAGGCAACCCAATTGGCAACTCATCAGGAGTTATATCAGAAAACTCATCAATTAAAGCTTGTATTTCTTTAGGGATTTGAAAATCAGTATCAAATTCTTTTCCCAAAATCAAATAAGCAACTTCAGAATGTTTCAAGTCATTAGCATTTAAAAGCAATTCAGGAGAAGTAATTTTGGCAATTGTGTTTTTCTTAACAGGCGAATCCGGCACATTTTTTTGTGGATGAAGAGTAAACTCCTTATTATTTTGCATCAAAGTATATGTGTTTTTCTCTCCATTGTGAATAGTTTTGTGGTCATATTGCCAAGGTCGTCCTAACAAAATATGACAAACTTCAAGAGTCACAACATCACAAACAACTTGATCTTTGAAAGAATCCCTAATTGACAAATTGACAGTACATTGCTTAGTGATTGGAACCTCACCCCCTTCCTTGAATAAATAGATTTTATAGGATTTGACAAGTGATGTTGATTTTATTTTAAGCTTATCAACTAGTTTTTGAGATACAAAATTTTCAGAACTCCCACTATCAATCATAGGAGTGCAGATTTTTACTTCGATTGTGCAAGTTGTTTTGAATATGTTTCTTCTTAGCCACCTATCCCCTTTTGTCAATTTTTGTTGTTAAAACTTGTCGAATTACCAAAAACTCTTCACCTTCATCTCCTTCAACATCAACCTTTTCTATTTCAGTGTCATGCTCAGATTCAGTTTCGTTTTCTTCTTCTTCTAAATTTTCATCGTTTTCAATGAGATTATTTCTTGGTGGATTGTTTTTTCTACAAGTGGCAGAGAGATGACTATAAAGCCCGCATTTATAACATGGTCCTATTAATCTAGGTTGATCAGTCGGCTTAGCACCCATAATCCCTTTTCCTTTATCAGCATTTTGATTTTCAAAAGTTTTAACTTTCACACCAGATGTTCCCCCAGAAGTTTGAGATTGAGTTTTAACCCCGCCAGTTGGTCGTCGTTTATATGTTTCTATTACTTTATTGTGACCCCTTTCCCTTTGATGTTGCTTTTCCAATTTTAGTGCCATACGATATGCTTCATCAGTTTTAATGATGTGATGTAAGTTGAGTTGATCTTGGATTGACCACTTTAAGCCATTGATGTATCTTGAAACAGTTTTTTCTTCAATTATTTTAAATCGTTTTTGGATTGAAGTTTGTAAAACATTTCGGTGTATTCTTCAATGGATTGATTTCCTTGTTTCAAGTTATTAAATTCTTAGAATATTGTTCGAGCATGATCAGTTGGCAAGAATTTTCCTTTCATTTTCTCCTCCATTCTTTCCCAATTTTGGACTTTTTCTTTTCCTCTTGTAAGTATATTATTTTGAAAGTTTTTCTACCAGGTTAAGGCATGACCAGAAAGTTTTAAGCTAGCAAAGCGAACTTTCCTATTATCTGCTATTTCTTTTCATTCAAAAAATTGATCCATCTTTTCTACCCATTCAAGATCGGGTTGTAGCTTACCCTCAAAGTTAGGAACATCAATTTTAATTCCATAGTCCTAATTTCTTTGTTGCCTATGTTAATTTCTAGGAACCTCCTCTTCACTTTCAGAAGTTTGAACATTAGGATTAGTATTAGCGTTATTAACATTCAGATTCTCAATTGCTTTAGTCATGATATTGATTTGTTGTTGCAAATGATTCAATTGTTGCATAAGATTTTGCCAATCCCCCGGATTATTAGCCATCTTAGAAATTGGAAAAAACCCACCCAAACAAAAACAAAATGCTAACAAAAATCACACCAACCAAGGATAAGAACTTGCTCTGATACCAAACTTGATGCAAGCACACTAGTTAGAAAAGCCAAACAAGGAGAACAATAGCAAAACTATAATCAAACTCGATTCAAATAGTAGCAATCATCTATTAGCACAAAAACTCACGGATAAAAACTAGAAGAAAGATCAAAAGAAAAAAAAAGGAAATAATAAAAGTCGCTATCCTCAGAACAACCGATAGAACGATTTCCTCACATGCATCGAAATGTAGGTTAAGTATGTGCTTAGGGATAGCAAACCGATGGTTCACCACAGCAAGAAGTTCCAAACGTCCGACCAAACTCCTCCAGCAAATGCTTCCAAATCAGCCAACAAAAACCTCCAAAGCTCAAGAAGAAGGATACAAATGGAGTGGAACTTGCGTAGAGAAGAGAGGTAAGAATCCCAGAAGAAATAGAGGAGAAGAAGAAGTGAACGAAGCTCTCAAGCTTTTCTAAGAAGAAGAAAATCCTCAGGTTTTTAAAGAGACAATGCTCAATAATTTTCAACAACCTTTCCCCTCAAAAATCATCTTCTATATATAGGCAAGAGTGGGGAACCAAACAGCCATAAACCTCCAAATAAGCCAATTAGATTTTAGGAAATAAAAGGCCAATAGCCACAGCAACAAATCCCAAACGGCACAGCAGAACAAAGAAGGGGTTTCACGGAACCAAGTAGAAAACCGCAGAACCGAGCAGCCATCTGCAAGAACCAAAGGGGCAAAGGCACGGGAAAACCACCCAGCATAGGAACAGCCAGCCACGGAAACCCAAGGGACAAAGCACGTGAAATCACCTAGCTCAGGGAAGTGAGAAGAAAAAGGGGAGGAGAAGAGACAAGTCCACTCCAAATTAATCCAAAATTTAAGAGCATACCTTTTTAGATTAATGAGCTAGGTAGTTCAATAAATCCCTCAATAAATGAACTAAACTTCAGCTCAACATTAATGAGCTAGCAACTTAGAAAATAAAGCTCAACCCCAATAAACCACCACCTCCTATAATCATTTTCAGCTCAATCCGAGAACCATAAGCCAACCCGAGAACTAGCAGCATCCCAAAGGACCCATCAAGCTAGCAAACCAAATGTTTACCAAAGCCCAAGCACAACCTACCATGATCATTGGATGCTTTCCCATCATTGGATAGCTAAAAAAATATATAAAACTAAATTAAAAACTAATGTTCAATATTTGATAATGAAAATACAGAAATTATGATTGCATCAAGTGTAAAAGAAATATAGGGGCTATTTGGTTTATGGCTTGTTGGTGGCCGGTATTGGTGGAGGGCGGCGACGGTGGTGGATGACAGTGGGCCGTGGTGGTTTCCACCAGCAGTGGGTGGCGGCGACTGCTGGTGGTGCCCAGCGGGTGGCGGTGGTAGTGGGTATCTGTCAGGCGAACTTGCTTGTGGTGTAAATAGTTCTCGCTCAAAATTGGGCGAGTTTGGTTTACTTCAAAAATGAATTTAAATGGTTTACACTACATTACTTTGCTCCACTTTCCAACTAAACACCAAAAATTTCAAAACCCCTGCATTTGGAATGTTTTACACTGGTGTAAAATATTCCAAATACAGGGGTTTTGAGAATATTTTTATTTGATTTGAAGTAGAATAAATGCAGTGTAAAATTTTGATATATTTGGAATGCACTCTCCATGTGTAATTTTGATATATTTGGTATTCTTCTAATTTCAGTGATTTTCAAATTAATCATAAATTCATTGCTAAATAAGATGAATTCCGAATATATCAAATTTACACTTAGAGAGTGCATTCCAAATAAAACAAAATTTTATACTGCATTTTTTTTACTTCAAGCCAAACACCAATATTGTGAAAACCCTAGCATTTGAATATTGATTGGTTGTTTTCTTTTGTATTCTTTGATTCATGCATTTCATATAGTAATATCCAGTTTCTATTGTATTTTTTTCTTTAAATTTCTTCAACAATTTCTATACTTTTAATTGTAAGGCTTTCTTTTGTTTAAAATAAAGTTTAAGATTGATGAATGTATACTATGGTTATAAATTCTGAATACTCTCTAAAATTATGCAGAAAGTTGGCAAGCATATTCTAATACATCAAACTTGTGCAGTTGCAGGTGGTTCTTTGGACAATGGTAGGATCATCTCTAAAGAGGATATTACCCCAATTGTTATTGTGGTGCCTGGCCTAACCAGCGATTCGTCTTCTGCTGTAAGTAGCTTATTTTATTGCAAACCAGGCATAATTATGCAAACTGCTATTATTGTGATGAAGGATGTCTTTGGTCTAGCATTTAAATAAAAGATTTTTGGCCTTCTACTTGAATTTAGCAACAATAAAAGAATCATAAAAACTACTCATGCGATTAAAATTTCATGCAATATAAAAAGGTTCTTTTAGAAATTTAACAGAATTCAATCTCGCTTTTAACTAATAATGAAAAACAACTAGGAAGTAGTCACTGAAATGCAAGCTTCATGTGTGTGCATGGAGGTATCTGTTAAAACTAGAGATTTATGAGGGGAAAACTTGAAATTATTCATTACAATCTTCCCTATTTATAGATCTATACGAGGAAATAATAAATTGCAAATTTAATACATAAATAATACATAAAAATCTTTCCTAAATTTGTTCCCTTATTATGGCGTGATCCATGAGAGTATCCCACGGATTGATCTTTGTGTCCGTTGGATCCTTTGTACTGGGAACGATTGGATTTCAACACTCCCCCTCAAGCTGGGAAATATGGATCCGTCATTCCCAGCTTGTCAATCATACGGAGAAAGACTGAACTGTCCAATCCTTTAGTAAGAAAATCTGCAAGTTGATCCTTTGATGATACATGGTCAACACTTACTAGACCACTGTCTAGTTTTTCTTTAATAAAATGTCTGTCCACTTCTATGTGCTTGGTCCTGTCATGCTGGACTGGATTGTGGGCTATGTTGATTGCTTACTTGTTGTCACAATGTAGCTTCATGGGCTCATCCCACTTAACCTTCAGATCTTCTAGGATTATTTTGATCCACAGTAGCTCACATATTCCCAAGGCCATAGCTCGATATTCTACTTCTGCACTAGATCTTGCCATCACATTCTGTTTCTTGCTTCTCCATGTAACTAGGTTACCTCCAAGAAATGTGCAATACCCAGAGGTAGATCTTCTATCAACCGGTGATTCTGCGTAGTCAGCATCCGTGTATACTTCTAGGGTCATCCCATGATCTCTCTTAAAGAGAATTCATTTTCCTGGTCTTCCTTTAAGGTAGTGCAATATCCTGTCTACCGCTTGCATGTGAATCTGCTTTGGATTCTGCATAAACTAACTGACCATGCTTACAGCAAATGCTATGTCTGGTCTAGTGTGGGAGAGGTAGATCAATTTCCCTACTATTCTCTGGTAGGCCCCTTTATCTACATATGTATCTTCTTTAGCTTCTCCCAATTTAAGATTAGGTTCTACTGGTGTTGGTGCTGGCTTACAGGCGAGTTTACCTGTTTCTCTTAGATCTTTGATGTATTTCTGTTGTGAAATGAAGATTCCTTTGCTGGAGTGAGCTACTTCAATTGCGAGAAAATATTTTAGTCTCCCAAGTTCTTTGATGTCAAATTCCTTAGTAAGATTTTTCCTTAAAATGGCTTTCTCCTCTTCATTACTTCCAGTCAAAATAATATCATCAACATACACTAATAATATTGTGACTCCCCCTGAGTCTGAGTGTTTGAAGAATAATGTATAATCCCTTTAACTCTGTCGATACTCATTTAAGTGCATGAATTTAGAGAATCTTCCGAACCAGGCCCTTGGTGATTGTTTGAGCCCATATAGAGCCTTTTTCAGTTTGCACACCTTGTTACCTTTGAATTTTTCTTTAAAGCCTGGTGGTATTTCCATAAATATCTCTTCTTTTAAGTCCCCATGTAGGAATGCATTTTTCACATCCATTTGTTCCAGGTGCCAATTATACTTGGCTGCTAGTGAGAGTAGTATTCGGACCGTATTCATCTTGGCCACGGGCGCAAACGTTTCTTGGTAGTCAATGCCATACATTTGAGTAAACCCTTTTGCCACTAGTCTTGCCTTATATCTCTCCAGTGTGCCATCAGCTTTGTATTTTACTGAGAACACCCATTTGCAGCCGACTGATTTTTTTCCTATCGGTAGATTGACGATCTCCCATGTTTTGTTCTTCTCCAGAGCCTGCATTTCATCTTTCATGGTATTTATCCAATTTTTATCAGATAAGGCCTCAGAAACATTGTTAGGAATATGTATATCTTCTAATGTAACAAGGAAATTTTTGTGTGCTGATGAGAAGTTGTTGAAGGATATAGAGTTGTTTATAGGGTATAAGGGAGGTGGTGAACTTACCTTATTTCCAGGAGATGATTCAGATTCTTGGATCCGCTTTGGAGAACAGCTTGAGCTTGCACGTCTGGAGTAAACCTTTCTAAATCTAATGATAGCGTTGTCATTTGTTTCCCTTTCTTGGGTTTCAGGTGGATTTTTCTGAGGTGGTGGAGGAAGGTCAAGAGGTGCAAGTTCATTTTCCTCATCTTCCTCAAGTTCAGTCTCCCCCTGAAGATGAGTTTTTGAAAAATAGGAATTCCATTCAGCAAAGGTAACATCAATAGAGACAAAGGTTTTTCTTGTGGGTGGATGATAACACTTATACCCTTTTTGGGTAGCAGAGTAGCCAACAAAGATGCATTTGAGTGCTCTTGGATCTAATTTTCCTCGTTCCTGGCTATGGATATGAATATAGGCAGTGCATCCAAAGATTTTTGGTGGAAGATTATGATGAGTTCGAAACTCTGGGTAAAACAAGGACAAGGTCTCCATTGGAGTTTTGAGGCCTAAAGTTGTTGAAGGTAGGCGGTTTATGAGATATGCAGCAGTTAAAAGAGCTTCCCCCCAATAGGATTTGGGTGTATTGTAGTGAAATAGGAAAGCTCTGGTGGAGGCTAGAAGGTGACCATTTTTCCTCTTTGCAACCCCATTTTGTTGTGGGGTGTGAACACAGGAGGATTCATGGATGATCCCTTCACTCTGGAAGTAGGAGGAAAGGGTTTGGTTGAAATAATCTTTGGCATTATCCTAGCGAAAACTCCTTTTTTTTACCCCGAATTGATTTTGGATCATGGAATGAAAGATGGGAACAATGGTGCTAACATCAGATTTATGTTTAAGGAGATAGATCCAAGAGACTCTAGTGCAATCATCAATGAATGACACAAACCAGCGTGCCCCAGAGATATTGAGAATTTTAGAAGGTCCCCAAATATCACTATGAATAAGGAAGAAAGGCGTAGCAGATCTCTCACTTTTATTTGGGAATGAGGTTCTTTTATGCTTAGCCAACTCACAGGTTTCACAATGAAAAATTTTATTGTCTAATTGATGAAACAACTATGGATACATATGTTTTAAAACATCAAAAGATGAGTGTCCTAGTCTATAATGATGAAGCCAAATAGTGGATCTCCTATCAACTAGGGATAACAAAGAGCAACTCCTTTTAGATTGGTTTGGTTCCTCCAGGTAGTACAATCATGCTTTCTCCTTAGCAAGTCCAATCTTCTTCCCCGATCTCTAGTCCTGAAATAAGCAATAAGAAGGGTTAAACAATGCTTGACAATTATGGTCATGGTAAGTTTTTGTATTGATATCAGGTTTGTGGATAATTGTGGTATGTGGAGCACATTTTTTAGGGTGAGGGATGGGGATAATATGATGTCTCCTTGGCCAGCTACCGTGGTAAGAGAACCATCAGCAGTGATGATTTTTTTGTTGTTTGGGCAAGGAGTATAATTTATGAGGTGGTTTGGTGAGTGGGTCATATGATCTGTGACTCCTGAATCAATGATCCATAATTCCTTTAAACAATTTCTGGAAGCACTTAAACTAATAGAGATTGGATTCTTACCTGAGAGTGCAAGTGAAGAAGAAGCATTTGATTTTTCAAGAGATACCAGGAGTCGTTTCAATTTATCAATATCTTCCTTATTGAATTCTTCAAGGCTGGATTGTGCTTCTGGCTTACTTGTAGTGTTGTTGGCATGTGATGTGCTCCTTGTTTCACCCTTTTGATTCCACTCCTTGTTGGGAGATTTTCCATGTATTTTCCGGCACGTTTCCTTTGTGTGTCTTGACTTTTTGCAATAGCTGCACGAAAGTGAATCCTTGTCCTTGAATTTTGAAGAATCTTCACCCTTCTCCTTCCATGACGATTCTTTGTTCATCACCATTACTGAGCTTTCAACTGCCTTTGGTTCTAACATCACTCCTCTTCGGCTTTCTTCTGCGCGGATGAGGGAAATGGTTTCATTGAGTGATGGTGTCTCCTCTTTGCCGAGAATTTGAACCCTAACTTGGTCAAATTCTGCATTTAGTCCTGCAAGAAAATCGTAAACTCTATCTTTTTCAATAAAGTTCTTTAGAATCGCAACATCTTCCAGACATCTGGTTTCTATGCATCTATAGTGATCAAGTTCTTGCCACAGATTTTGTAGAAGGGTGGCATACTCTGTCACGGTCTTATTTCCCTGCTTTGTGCTTCCAACTTTGACTTTAATTTCAAAGATTTGGGCCGCATCACGAGCTTTGGTGAAGGTTTGTCTGGCAGCATCCCATATGTCCTTTGCAGTCGAAAGGAACATAAATGTGTCGCTAATTTCTGGAGTCATGGAATTCCACAACCATGACATGATCATGGAGTCTGCTTCATCCCATGCCCCAAAAGTAGGATCTCTTTGCTTTGGTCCTTCTCCAAAGAGGTGATGTATTTTCCCTTTCCCTTTCAAGTAGGTCTTCACGAATTGAGACCACTTTAGGTAGTTCTTCCCATTTAGACGATAAGAAGGTTGTATGTTTTGGAGATCACCTCGTCCTTGGTGCACCATCGACTCCTCTGTTTGGTCAATGCTCTGGGAGGAATTGATTTCTGACACGATGATAGTAGTGTAGAATATCTATACACTCTTGGATAGCAATGAAGGCTTCCAAAAAACAAAATCCCTCCGATTTTAGTTGTCGGCAATAAATGCCAATAGAGTTTTTTTTTTTTGAGAAAACCTTCCCGGTTTACTAAAATCGGGCCGTACGACTCTTTAAAAGAGTCAGACCTGGTAGATCAGGGCACGCGCGAAGATGGGATCGAGCGGGCGGCTTGCTCCTTCGACGATCTTCCCTTCCTGTTGGATCGGGATGCTCGTCAGCTGCTCAGCTGCGCTCCTCTTCTTCGACGGTTTTCCCTTCCTGTCGGCTTTCTCCTTCGACGATCTTCCCTTCCAGTCGGATCTGGAGGTACAGGCGCCTTTGTTCCTTCTTCGGTCGCTAAGGTGCTTTACCGAAGAGGAGATCGTCGAAACAGGCGAAGCTTTGTCGGCGTCTTGTGGTCTACAGTCGGTAGCACGGTTCTCCTTTCTTCCGCGAGGCTTCCGTCAGCAAGACTTTCTTCCGTGAGATCTAGGTTTCGTCTTCAGCCTTCGTCTAATAAGGCTCCGTCCCAGTAGTCTCCGGCTTCCTTCTTCTCGCTCTACTTCTCTTGTGGCTCTGATACCATGTTAAAACTAGAGATTTATGAGGGAAAAGCTTGAAATTATTCATTACAATCTTCCCTATTTATAGATCTATACAAGATATCCTAATGAGGAAATAATAAATTGCAAATTTAATACATAAATAATACATAAAAATCTTTCCTAAATTTGTTCCCTCATTATGGCGTGATCCATGAGAGTATCCCACGGATTGATCTTTGTGTCCGTCAGATCCTTTGTACTGGGAATGGTTGGATTTCAACAGCTGGATTTCAACAGTATCCTCTCTTAGAATTTTAATAAATTGAATCCCTGAGGATAATAATTTGCGTATTTAGAGCAATTTTTTTGTATTTACCCTAGACTGTCCTATTTACAAGCCTTACATCCCAATTTCTAATTCTCTCGATTATCAACAAATAAAAAACAAACTCCATGTTGGAGATTCTGGCAATCCTAGAAATAAACCATCAAACAATTGTGGAGATATTATCCTTGATTTCTTATTGATGGTCTTGAAATTCTATAGAATCTTACCTAAACTGGTATTTATTTATATTAAATTATTTTTATAGATCTAATAAAATTATTTCTTCTACTGATCAAGATATTTGGCTATATAGTATCATCCTTTTTAGCTATGGCACCAAATTTAATGTAGGATGTTCTATGGTCTATGATTTCTAATGCAGATTTAGTATATATTAAGATGCAGTTAACTATATATATATATATATTATATATATATATATATATATATATAGAAGTCTTTGCTGGAAAACAAGCTATTAATCTTAAAATAACTTTTTTCTATCTTCAATGAATATAAAAAATGATGAAAATTCAATTTCATTGAATGAGCTTTTTGCCTCTTCTAATAAATACAATGAAAAAAAAACCTGAAAGTCAAGCGCATGATTGAAATATCACGCTAAAAAAAGTCATATTATAGTAAATATGACAAAAATGAAGTCTTACTCTCATCAAACAATAAAACAAGCAATTATATTAAGAAGATGGGATAATGGAAAAAAGAGGAGTAAGTCCCGAATTGTAAGCTTACAATTGTACAAGAGATCTTTACCGTTCTTTCAAGTCTCACTTAGTCTTATCACCTAGACTATCGAGTTATAAGTCTCAGATCCCTATCTAGAATACTCATGAAATATTAAAAAATTATAGAAAATCGCTGATGAAGGAAGCTTTAGAGCACCAAATGGAAGAAGATGCAACCCATCCTTGAAGCAAACCACTGAACAACATCTACCATGCCACGAAGCAAGCTGCACCAGCTATGAAACGAGAAGCTGCAGGAATAGGCTGTAAAACAAGAATATAAACACCACAGGAACTGCACAAAATGAGCATGAATCTTGCAGACATAGAACCTCCGAGGGAGGTGCAAAGAAGTTCCATGGTTTCAAAGGTGTCATTGGAATAGGCTTATGTTACTGTGTTAGCTTTCCCATCCCTGCTAATCAGGGAAGTTCAATACTTCTATGGATATATTGCTAAGTTGATTCTTCCAACAGAGGGTGATATAATAATGGTCTAAGCAATTTGTAAGAAGTAAGTCAAGTCAAGTCTTGAAGTTATGGATAGGAGCAATAAGTATTTGACTTTTTGTTTAGCAACTCTGTGCTGTGGGGATGGTTTAATTTTATATACTCTGAAGAGGCATAAGCGGGATATTGCAGCCTTTGGAGACCTTTTTGGTGCCCTGTGCTTCACTTGTGATGTTTTAATTATGGTCAAAATAGTGTATAATGTACCCTATACAGTTGTGCCCATGTTCATATTCTGGATGCTTCTAAGTTTTTCTGTTTTGAAGTTCATCTTTCAATGTTATTTTAGCAATGAAAGCTCTAGATTCCTTCTCTTCTCCAAGAGGGTTTATTTCTTAACTAGTTTTTAAATGTTTTTTGTCTAGTGGTTTTGAATTGTGTTATTAGTTCCTCAAAATGGTTCTTGAATTAAGTAGCATATTAAAATGGATATTTATGAAGTACATTTATGGGGATATCAGAGCGTGGAAAATCTATCAGAGACGTGGCCGTCGATCTACGGCTACGATTGAGTCATTGTATTTCTGAGATGTATTATCTATTTTCTTTATTATTATGTCATATTGTATTTGCTTTATTAGTTTTCCATTTTTACCCCTTAAGGGAGGTCGTATGTAAGCCCAGTGGGCATTGTCGTCTTTTATTTTCTTGAGTCTTTGTACGAGGCTATATATAACCCCATTAGTCTCTTTTGATGTTGATTAATGATTGATTGAAAAAACTTTGCTTCTCTTTGTTTGAGTTCTAGAGCTTGAGAGATTGGAGTGAGAGCCCTAGGAGAGGGAGAATTGCGCATCACCCACCAACCTCGACGAGCCGGGTTCGTGGTTTTACTTTCTATCTCTTTCCCTTCATCTTCCCACCACCACCACAGGTCCTCTTCACCCCAACCAACCATACACACACCCAAACCTCCACCTTCTCCAACCTCCGCAAGCCCACCTACCAGTCGGCTTCACCACATCCCCTCCCTCATCCAAGAATTCCCCATGGCCCAACCTAGCCCCTGCCCCCCCCTCCCCCTTCTCACCTCATCCACCTTCCCTCCTCAATTCGAACCCCTCTTGAATACTTTTCATAATCATTTGCTCTTAATTTATGGAGGTCTAATTTCAAAATTCAAAATTATTTGAATTTGAAATTCTTTCTTAATTTAGGAAACCTATTTTAGAAAGTTACTTAATTAAGCCCCTTTTAAAATTTCAAATTAACGGGGATTTAATAATTTCTTTCCTAAATCCCAAATTAAGCAACCCCAAATCTCTTCCAATCTCCTCCTTTGCCTTAAAGCCGCCAACCCCTTCAATAAATCCCATGGGATTTATTTCCTAAATCCCTCTAACCCCTCTTGGAAACAATTCCTAATTTCACTCCATCCCCTTTGGCCGAAATCTCATAAGCCCACCTAATAAATTTATTTCCAAAAGGAAATCTCTCCTTTTGGAATTGAATTAAAGCCCTCCCCTCACCCTTGCCGCCGCCCCCCCCTCTCTCTTCCTCTTTTGGAATTGTTTTCAAATTTCAAAATCCCTCAAAGGTAAAATCTGAGATTAATTTCAGGTTTTGAGTTCTTCTCTTTTCTAAAGCCTAAACAAATTCCCTATTCTCCTCCTCCTTGTCGCCGCCCCTACCTACCTCCTCCCTTTAATTAATTCCAAACATAGGAATTAATTGGAGCATTGCTTGGAAACCCTCTCCCTCCTCCCTTGGCCGGCCACACCACCATCATCTCCACTTCAAGTTCAAGAGAAACTTCTTTCTCTCCAGTGGAGTTCCAAAAGTGATCTTCGGAAACAACCTTCTTCTAGCATTCATGAATGGCCAATCCGGATCTTGATTACGGTCTCGCCTACGATGAACAAGGATTTGTTTGCATCCTTCACTCGACCTTTTTCGATGTCAACCTACGCATCAACAACACCGTTGAAGAGTACGTAGAGCGCATCCTGGACACCCTTGTCGAGGCCATTGAAGAACAACTAGGCACCGTTCAGTGGAGGATCGCAACTCAACCTTGATAAGGGTTTACCAATCATCCTTTTCGTATTTTCCTTATGTAACTTTTTCTTGTAATTTGATAGATTCATGAAGGTCTTGCTCGCTAAACTCTGCCAAGCTTAGTAAACGTAGGGATTGAGTGCACTTTATTTGCTTCTAATCTTAATGTTAGATTTGAGATTTTTGTTGAAAGCTATTCCATTTGCAAGTTGTTGATTTTCTTTTGTTGTTTCGACAATTCAAGTGCTTATTGTACAACTTGGCCTAAAAAGTGACCGCTCTTATGTTTTATTTGATCGTTTTAATTTGTTTATAGTCCTAATCATAATTGTTTTTATCAAGAAATCGTACAAGTTCATTTCATATCATTTTAAGCATTGTAGTCCTACTTCACCCATTTAGATATTTATAAATTGATCCGCTTACAAAACTGCATATGTGAGATGATAGGAATAACATTGCCTTGCTTACTCTTTTCCCTGAATCAGTTTATTGTAGCCCGTTGAAGATTCTTTTACAATTTAGTGTCTGGTTGAATGCAAGTTGAATATTCATTCATATACTAACTTATTTTTTATCTTGTTAACATTTCATGTCAAAATCATATGTCAGATTTTAGGTTTCCTTGTTTGGTTCTTGCAGTATGTAAAGCATTTAGCTTACAAGATAGCAAAGCGTGGTTGGAATGTTGTTGTTGAAAACCATCGTGGGCTTGGCGGTGTTTCCATAACTGTAAGTTCTATTATCCTTATGCTGTTTGTAGATTTGTTGATGCAACTGCAAATATGTTTTTGATTTTGATGCCGCTTATACATAAACAAGTATTCTTGGAGAGAGAAAAAGAGAAACACACACACAAAGTTTCATCTCATGAGATGGTTACAAACTCGAGCATTATAATTACATCAAATTTTTTGGTCAAACAGTTTCATAATGGATTGAGATTATTAACAGTAAATGTTGAGCTAACAAAAAATTATTTTAACCTTTTTTTGAGTTTTCAAAATGATGAATGAGAAATAACTTGTGTGGTCTTTATTTCCATTATAAAACCAAATTTTATCTAGATCTTATTTTATTTTTAGAATCTACTTCAGTTTTAGGGGTTGATTGTTGGTTTTCAAGATTTGATAAGTTGGGTTGAGTTTTGGAATTGCGGGACGCAAGCAATGAGAATTAACATGTGTGTGTATAGTATGCAAATTATTGTCCTTTAAGGATAATCACCTTTCTTCAACATGATTTAATTATACGACCTTCAAATGTATGATCAAATTCTTTCATTCTTTTTAACAACATTGAAAATAGCGTCATTGCTGACTTACAGACTTTTTAAAATTATTTGATAATCAAGTAGTTGCATCAAAATTCTCATGAGTTCGTTTGTATTATAAGTTGATTATGATTTCAAGACAGAGATTTTCAAATGGATTTATATTAAATGCGTGTTATTAATAATTCCTGAAGTATATCTGATAGTTTTGAGTAATAAAATATATGGACAAAATTAAATTTTTTAGAAGGCCACTATATTCTTTCCAATCATCCTTGTCTCTCTCTCTCTCTCTCTCTCTATATATATATATATATAATTAGTTGAACCATCCTAACTCGAGTTGAGAACAATGATTCAACATTAATTTTATCTGCCTATGTATTCCGACCATCAGGATTCGAACTATTTGTAGTTTCAAAAAAAGAAAAGGCAGTTATATAATCCTGGTGAAATTTATGGCCAAAAAAGTTTTAAAAAAACCCTTTAAGTTAAAGAAGCAATCATCACCCTGTTGCTGCATGCCAAAGTTATGATTGAGTGCCAAAAGGAGCTGGCCTAAAAATTACTCATACATGAAAAGAAAGAAATAAATAAAATTTATCTAAATTAATTTATGATGAAAACAAAAGATATTTTGATAGTAATATGAAAGTGCAAAATATTGATAATCCTATTTTACTTAATTTTGGTAACATAAACATTTGAAGGGCCAAAAGAATTCCAAATTGACAATGAATTTGATGGTAGACCATTTGCTAAAGAAGCAAAACACCATTTTCAAAATAGATTTATAGCAAAAATATCTCATGGCTGAACCAACATATCTAGAATTACTGCTTTTGATAGCTGTTCGTGGGTACTAGAATTAAATTATTTTAGTTCTACTACGATGCCTTGGAGACATGAATGGTTTATGCTTTTCTAAAGTTCTGCTGTTTGATAAGAGGTACTTTCTATCCTTCATTTCCTTGCACTTTACCATTTTTAGTATATGAAGCACAGTCCTTATTTTATCTGCATTTAACAAAAAATAAAACAACTGCTTCCTAATAGTTTTTAGCTAGCAAAACTAACTTTCTCATGAAACAGAATGCTAGATCATACAATTGCAGTGTAGTAACAGTAGGAATAAGATATGCATAAAATGCTACTTAAGCAGGATGGAAAATCAGGAAGAGGTAACAAACACCATCTGGATGAGTAATCGAGCAACATAACCTGTTTACGCCTTGGTCTCTTCCAATTTGAAATGCAAATCACTAAATATACATGGAAAGATTGGACACGTTATTATTGAAGATGAGGTTTAGTGACTAAAACATATTATCATCTACTGGTTTGAGGTGAGCCCAAGTCTAGAAATATATTTTCAAAACCTTTGTTTTCATGAGAATTGTGCTGAGATCTGCAAACCTCTTCACACATTGTTAAAGCTAATGCACTTAAAAAGGCAAATAATTTAAAAGCAATTGTGCTGTGTTTTTCTTCTCTTCTAATGTGCATGCTTTAAAGAGCTTTCTTTAACATTATTCTAGTATCAGCTTTTGGACTATTTCTAGGTGGCTATCATGCTTGCTTGAATTTCTATTGTTGGTTAGCATCTCCAAGTTTTATCAAGCTCATTAGCTATTTTCCCTTCAATTTGGGAGATGAAATAATAAATTGGGTATAATTTTCTCTTGCTTCTTTCAAATCATGTGAGCTCTATCATTTATCTCTAATATTATCTTGCATCATATATTTTTGATTTTCTCATGTTCATTTGGCAGTCTGATTATTTTTACAATGCTGGTTGGACAGAAGATATACGAGAAGTTGTCAACCATCTTCATCAGAAATACTCTATGGCTCCTATCTTTGCTGTTGGAACAAGCATTGGCGCCAATATTCTGGTTAAGAAATTAACTATCCACTAGCATTAGCTCTTCCTTAATGGTTTTCTTAGGTGTTATTTTGACCCGAATTTGTGCCTCAACTTTAGGCTTCATGATTGGAGTTTAGTGAGGGTAGCAGGTAAAATATTTTTTTACTTGCCTAAAAGAAATCAAATTCAGCTTGTCTAAAGTAGATTTATAGATTCATGTTGTTTTGGCGTGATCCTTAATTCCAGGTGACATTTTGCTTGAGATTATAATCTATTTAAAGTTGGACCATAGTCCTAGTTTTACCTACTTTGCTCATAAGCACGTGAAAGTTGAGTAGCTAAGCTGGTTTTTCCCAGTTGATAACTTCTGAGTGTCTGAGGTTCAAATTTATGTTACTATCTATTCATCCTATTACTATTTTTATTTTTGATATCTCCCGTAATGTCCATGCTTCCAGGTCAAGTATCTTGGAGAGGAAGGGGAGAAAACTCCAGTTGCTGGGGCCGCATCTATTTGTTCTCCATGGGATCTTGTGGTTAAGTTGATTAATCATCTTTTAATATTTTCAATTTGGCTTGCACATATTTATTAAGTTAACTTTCTTTCTGTATTTCCTTATGCTTAACATTTGGTTGACTCTTTTATTTAAATTTGGCAAGAATTGGTTTAGTATTCCATTCCAATATTTATGAAGCACCTGTAAAAATTTAGGAGAGCTTCCAATATGAAGAATGGCTCATTCATATCACCTGCAACAAGAAACATTCAACAATTTCCTGTCTCTCAAAATGTTTAGCCCCAATTCATCTAGAATATCAAAAATATTCCAAAAGGACCGAAGTGACCAAACTTTTGGCTCTAGAGAAGCAAAAATACTTTATATAGGGGATAAGGATAAAATTTAACACACCAAGAATTAACATTTTGTGGGAATTAGAATCACTTATTTGAAATAACTTTCTTGTATTAAAATCTTTCCACCTATTATCCCTTTTACTTGCCTCCAGAATGCCACATATTCCTCTCATTAAACCTTTTTTTTGGCCATTATTCATTTCTTTTTTTTTTCCCAAGAATTTGATCCATCTGAAAGCGCACAGCTGGCAAATCCAACTTATAAACCCACTTAAATCCAACTCTTCATAAAACCACTTAACTTAAACATTCTTATCCCTTTGCTGACTCCTAAATATTACTATTTCTAATTTGCATCCACCTACATTTGTCTGCATTCTCATTTTCCCGACTCCACATTTTCTCTCCCACTTTCTTTGCTTTCCAACTCTTCCCAGCTGCTTCACCCAAGCACCCAAACTATTGTTGCCACTCTTCCCTCGGGTGACCCCATGCTCATTCGATGAGCTCTACCAGCATACCATCTCTTCCCCGTATGTTTTATTTCCATGGAAATAGTGGATTTAGAGCTGATGCAAATGAGTTGGTTGTCATTCTTCTTCCATTCAAAGTTGTCATCTTCAGTTCTCACTAGACATTTGCAAGAGGATGTACCTTGGTGTATGCTTTTTGGTGATGATATTCTTCCTGTTGATAAGACTAGAGAGGGAATTCAAGGTAAACTTGAATTATGGTGGTCAACTGTAGAGTCTAAAGGTTTTCACTTGAGTAGATCTAAAACTGAATATATGGATTGTAATGTTAGTAGTAATAGACCTAGTGAGGGGATTGTGACTTTGGGCGATCAAGTCATTAATAAAAGTACACATTTTAGATATCTTGGATCTATTGTTTAGAGTAATGGTGAAATAGATGGAGATATTATCAGCAGAATTCAAGTTGGAGGAATGCATCGGGCTTGTTGTGTGATAGAAAAGGCCCCCTCAAACTTAAGGGAAAATTCTGTAAGATGGTGGTGAGACCTTCAGTGCTTTATGGTGCCGAATGTTGGCCATTAAAAGATAAGCATAATACTAAGTTAAGTGTTGCAGAGATGAGAATGCTCAGGTGGATGAGTGGCTTTACCCTTTAGAGATAGGATACAAAATGAGCATATACGTGAAAAGGTTGGAGTAGCGCTAGTGGAAGATATGATTAGAGAGAGTCGCCTTGGATGGTTTGGTCGCATAAAACGGCGGCCTTCCAATGACCCGATTAGGGAAGTAGAGGTATTAGATTTGACTTATGTTAACAAAGGTAGAGGTAAATCTAAAAAGACTTGGTTAAAAATATTAGAAATGATTTTTCTTTATTAGATTTAAACGAGAATTTGACTTTTAACATGACACAATGGAGAAAGAGGATTCATGTAGCCGACCCTACATAGTGGGACAAAGATTTGATGTTGTTGTTGTATTTACTTTGAAGATGCTTTTAAGGTGTATGGCCTTTGTATCAGGAGAATGAAGGTGTTTCTTCAATAGTCTTGAAAACATTACAGTCAATTTAGACAAACATGTAAGTAGTTGGTATAATAGTAGGCTGATCAAAATGAACTACGTTTTGTTTTCTGCTTGTAATAAATTCTTCTTTTTAATGCTTTAGTTTTTAGACTTTTTGACTTGCGATTAGGAATTTGCAGGTTTGTGATAGATTCATTAATCGCAGACTTGTCCAGCGGTTCTATGATAGAGCTCTCACAATTGGTCTCAAAGGTTATGCCCAATTGTATGTTCCTATTCATCTCACAATCTATTAGCTTAATTTGTTAACTAATTTAGTTAATACATATTAGCCTGATATTTTATTATCTCTTAAGTTTGAGAAATTCTATTGCTGTCAACCTTTCTTTTTTCTGCCTGATTTTTTTCTTCTTCAACTTTCCAATTAATTTTTTAGCCGTTTTTGCAGACATCAGCCTGTCATGACACGTCTTGCAAATTGGGATGGCATCAGGAAGGTACTGCTAGTTTCTTTGTATGGAGTTTATATTTTTTAATTGATGTTCACTTGTTCTTGTTGGTCACTTTTCTGCTTTACAGGCATATTGATTTTAAACAAATATGATTGCCCTAGGAAATTATTTCAAAAGTAAATTTGTTATTTAAGGAGATTGAAAACTAAATAGTTGAGACTTGGTAGTTAAGCTTGTTTTTTTTATATGGATAAATGTCTGTTAAATTTACACTATCAGGCATGCTATTAGTTGAAGGGAGAACTATCTTTAAAATACTTGATGCTCTTTTGTTGTTTCATTCACAAGATTTCGTTAGACGAGAGGGTTGATCTAGAAAAGTTGTTAAGTTGCCTTTGAGTTAGGGAATCAATGATGGGAGCTTATTCTGGAAAACCCAAAGTAGGGTTTTTTATCATTAATTTTTATTGTCCTGGTTAGAGAGAGAGGGAGACTAGCTGGATATACTTTGATAGTTCGTAGTTGATTGGAGAGATGTTAGGGATGACTTTGGATTTCATGCTAATGATAGGATCATAGATGCCTTGGGATTCATGCTACTGTCATGTACTAGAGAGACGACAGATGAGAAATTGGGGGGATGTAGTGAGAGACTGTGATAATATAAGAGGGAAAGAGGGATCATAATACAAGAGAGGAAGCTAACAGATGAGGGATTGGGGGAGAGCTAGGGAGAGAATTATTTAAGCAATGCATTTAACTTTTTTCTCATCCAAATTCCATGTCCTTTTTTGGGGGAGTAATGCTTTTTAAAAATGAGTTAAATGAATAAAAAAACTACAAAATACCTTGCTAACAAGATAAGACCTAATGTGGGTCGGTAAGAATCACAAAGCTTAATTGAAATCTAGTTGTGGATGTAGTGGGGTTAGAAGCTTGGTTTGGTATTTGGGTTTGATCTAGGAAACCTGTACTGCATCAATTCTCCTGAGGTTAGAAAATCTTGAATTTGATGTATAAGTTTGGAATCTATAGGAAATGCGCTAAGTAATAGCAGTAGGTATAGAGGCACGGGTACTGATTGGCATTTGTGAATTTTTTGCAATGCAGTTCAAAAATAAAGCATAAAAATAAAAGAAAAAAGTAAAGTATGCAAACCGATTTATTGCAGTTGAGCCAATGAGCCTATATCCCCCCCCCCCCACATTTTTTTTATTTGGGGATTTCACTAGCTCTCTCTCACCTTCTGTTCCCAACAAAGTGGAGAAGCCTTTGCCCTTTGTAAGGTAATAGAGAAACCCTTTACACCACTCTCTCATAATGCTCCTGTTAAGGTGTAGACATTCACGGGTAATGAAGACGCCCTATACAACCATTTCCTCAAAAGTCCAAACTATTGTCACTCCAGTTTGATCTGCAGAGTACATAAGACTTCCATGAGATCTTCACAACCTTTACAAAACTCTAGAAGCTCTCCACCAATAGTTCCAAACTCTCAAACTAGAGGAAAAGAATGATATAATTATAGAACAACCAAAGTGAAACCTTATTAAAGTTTCTTCAAGAAATCTCTCAATAAAATTCCTCAGAAGTTTCTAAATCTTTGTAAAACCCGGAATTCGTCATTTGAGTGCGTCGCAAGTATTTCGATGCGCCGCGACGAACTTAATTGAAATTTCGATGTCGTCGGAATTCGACGAAATAAATTTTATTAAATTCGTCAGGAAATTTCGATTGAAACGATATAAAGAACTTATATTCAATTTCGCATGGTTTTGAAATTAAAATTCACCGAAGTTTGTTTAAGTAATATTTAGCCTCATCTTTCATTTTTACCCCTAGGAGTTCTTAAGGGAAATGTAAATAGCAAGGGTACATGCGTAATATGACATCTAAACCATTATCTAAAACCCTCACATGCTTAAGGGACCGAATATTTCGGTCCCTTGGTGTTCGTTTCGGCCGATCCGAAGAAGAGGGCGACGGGAGAGGGGGAAGGCGACAGGAGGAGCTCGAAGGTCGGCGGCCGGCGAGTTTTCCGGCGAGATCCTTTAGGAAAAAAAACGTAAAGGGAGGCTTCTAGAATCTAGGAGGTAAGTTATTTTTGAAGAATCTTGTCTTTTTCATGAGTTTTTGTTGATGTAAGAATTTAGGGTTTGGTTTTTCTTGATGTTTTATTTAGCAAACCTTTAGGGCTTGCTTAGGAATATGTTTTTCAGTCAATTGCAAGAAGATTTCTTAAGGGAAAACCTAGGATCCGAAATTAGGGTATCTTCTTTTTGACTTATTTTTGTATGCAAATGTTAGAAGAAATGAGGGAAGGGATGTTATGAAGAAAATGCGAAGTTTTCTTTTAAAATTTGAATTTTAGAAATTAGGGCTTTTCCAAATGAAGTCATTTGGAGCTTGCATGTAATGAAAAAAAAAATATTCCTAAGGGTTTAGGGAGTTCTCTAAAGAAAGGAAACTTCAATTTTGAAAAAAAAATCCTAATTATTTTATCTTTAATTCCAAAAATTTTAATGTCTTATTTATATGTATAAGGAAGGGGAGTAATTTCTAAGCGATTAGAATGAAAATAATGAAATTTTATGTCTTCATAATTTAGGTTTTATTTAAAACCGAAATTAATTGATGTAAAATCAAATTATGAGTGGGAATTGTAAAACCCCCTCCAAAGCTGATTTTTTTGAGTGCAGTTAGTCCGTACGAACTGGCTTTAGTACAGGACGAACTGAAGAAAATTGTGAAGAATCTGTTAATTTCGTCTGTACGAACCTGGAAGGGTCGGGACGATCCGTCTGGATGAAATTTGTCCAGAGAGCAAGTCGTCCGGACGCTATTTAATTTCGTCTGGACGAAATTCTTCCAGAGGGAAAATCGTCCCGGGACGAATTTTGGATCGTCCGGGATGATCAGTGTTAATAAATATCCGATAGAGATATTTTGGATTCATTTGAAGAGAGAGAAAGAGAAATCAGGAGAGAGAAAGATAAGGAAGAGAAGGAAAAGCTTGGTTTCGGAGGCCGCGGAGCGATTTTCGTCCGTCGTCGCTGTTAGAAGATTTGTTCGTCTTGTAGTAAGGACTTCGAATCTTATATTTGTTTTCGAAGATTTCAAGTTTTGATATTTCTGTGCTCAGTTTTGTGTTTCCGTTACCGAAAAATGCGCATAATTTTGTATTGACGAAAGTTTTACCGCACAACTTTTGATATGTTTCTGATATGATATTTCTGCGCTATTTGAGTATTTTCTGTAAAGTTTTTATCTGGTATTTTGAGTTCTGTGCAATTTTTATCGAATAGAAAATTATCTGGTTGTTGAAAAATAGTGTTTCAGTACAAGTAAAGCTTTGTAATGTTGTTTTCTTCGATTTCTAGTAATTTGGTAAAGTTATGAATCTGTGATTTCTGTGTAAATTCTGTGTACTGCCGTTATGCCGCCGATTTCTCGTACGACCTCTAATTTTCTGAATTGATGATTTAAACGATTGAATATGCATACGAATGTGGATATATGATTGAATTATTGTTATTGTTACTGAAAGACAAGTAAAGACTGGTTAAACCGTTGGTTGGAGATGATACCTGTACAGGATGGTGGGCCGACGGGCTTTCCTTTAAAAAGAGTTTGGCGATATCCTGTACTGATCACGTGATTACCGAAGGGAGTTATAAGGAGATTACTGCGCCGACGGGCAAGAGTGACGACTCTTTTCATTGAGCCAACGGATTACTAACATCGATACTAACATTGAAAAATGCCTTAATAGCCAGTGATTGTACTTGTTAAGTAAGACTACTGTATTGTATTGCATGCGTACAGAACTGTTCTTATGATTTCTTGATGGATTTACTGATTTATTGAGATCGATTGATTTATTGATATAGAATTGATTTATCGATATTGAATGGATTTAACGGATTTACGGGCATATGATTTAATGAGAAAGTTATATTGAATAACTGATCGATTTGCAAGCGTATGTTTTGATATGATTCTACTACATTGACTGACTGATGTTATAGACTGATGTGATAGTTAAGACGACTATTAAAGAGATTTGATGATTTCTGATTTATTAAACTTTATGGATTTCTTCCTACTGTTTATTGATTCTTCTACTGTGGATTTAGGAGTTTACTGTTTCTTATTGATACTGTTTACGCATTGACTATTGTTACTGTACTGATTACTATTCATGCATTGATTTCCGTATCTGCATTGATTCACTGATCATGTGCAACTGACTGCTATGATTAAACTGATTGACACGCATATTATTTTCGTGCCGTGCTTTGATTTCAGTTGTAGGCTTTGGTGACCTACTGGGCTATTTAAGCTCATTATATGTGGTTAACAATTTCAGGTCCGAGCAAGGGAGCATGAATGGAGATTGATCAAGACTGTCGACGAATCCTTTCACTATGGATGCCTAGGGCGTCACAGGAATGATGATATATTACCTTGAGGATAGGTGTAGGAAGAATATAGGGAGCTTATAAAAGAAATTTAAGAGGGGATTAGTGAAACATAAATATTTATTTTGGCAAGAAATTTATGTTGTGTTATTTTTCTTTGGGTTGTGGCAAGAAGAAGTATAAATAAAGAGAAGTGGAGGATTGCATAGTATTGTGAGGTAGGATTCTTTTCCTTACATGTCCATATGATGTTTGTTTATATAACTTTTATATGTTATGTCCTTATGAAATTGATTATGAAATTTGATATCTGTTAAACATGCACTACATTTACTTCATATTTCCTTCATGATTAGGTCTAAAACACATGTTAAACAATCATTACATGTTTATTTATGTCATGTTTAGAATGCATGTCAAACATTAATTCATGTTTGAAATATATGAAATTATATGAAAAGGAAAGAATGTATACTCATATGAAAAAAATATAGAAATGATTGTGCATGATTGATTGCGGAGTACCAAATACGGTGCAAAAGAACATATGAGCAATACGGGAACAATATGGCCCTTTTGGGGCAAAAGAGGAAAAGAAAGAAATGGCCAAAAGATGTTGTGTAC